AATATTATAAATAAGTATATTTTATAAAATATTATAAATAAGTATATTTTATAAAATATTATAAATAAGTATATTTTATAAAATATTATAAATAAGTATATTTTTAATTTAATTTTATTTATCATTATTTTGTTATTAATTTTGTTATTTTTTATTATTTAGTTACCTTTATCAGTTTAGTTTTGTTACCTTTTGTCATTTTGTTATTTTAAATTGTCACCTTTTGTCATTTTGTTATTTTAAATTTTTTGCTAAAAGACAAACCTAGTTCGACTTTTGTCAGTGACAAAACCTTTAGGTTTTGTCTAACAACAATAATCTGACCCTTATATATTAAACATAAATTGATTAAACTTGCAATTACCTCATTATTAAAAATTGATACTCACGTAACTGATCTTGATCATGACCCTGTGATATCCGAAATAATGAAAGAAGTAAAGTATTAGTAAAGTAATAAGAAAAGTGACTAAATCACCAAACGGAAGCAAAAAGACACTTATCTGAATCTGACACTATCTCATAAATCTAAAATAATCCTGATTACTTGGGTCAAGTCTTTTCACACCTCGATTGAAGCCTTACCAATATTAGGGTTTTGTTATTATAGTTATAGTGTTCTAGTTTGAATAGTTTAGTTAGCGTTAGTATATGTAATGAGTTGTTATATTTCGGCCTAGCAACTTTCTGACGCAACTCTAAATATAAATTAGCATTATTCTAGTTAAATATAAATGTTTATAATTATTTGAAATATCGTAAAAACTCTAAGCACAATAATTAAGGGAATTGGTAAAGTCCTTCAATAATTTTTAGTGATGGTGATTCATATAATGAAATAAAGAGCGAACAACCTATAGATATCCCTCTCAGAAGCATGCAAAATTCTTGAAAATTCTATAAATATGGAAGAGAATATGGTGTTTCTTGCAGATGGAATTAAAAAGCAAAATTTCCTAATGAAGAAAAAGATAATAAAGATATTGAAGTCTCAATGATTCTTGCTCAAAATTGCACAAATATATTAAAAGATCTAACAGAGCCATGCTTGCGCATTTTATTAATAAACAAATTTTTTCACAGTTGTCATCTTACACTGATGGTATTATCGAACGTGTGCACAAGAGGGCATCCAAGTTGAAAGACTAATTTTCTGTTGAAGTAAATATTAGTAATGGTTACTTGAAGGACGAATTGACAGTATACCAAGAAGATTTTAATCACGAATACGCAAAAGATTCTCATATAAAAGTTAATACATCTATTTTTTTGCTCTGGCCACTCACTTCGATAAAATCTGGTTTAACTATTAAAAATTCTAGTGAAAGAATGCAACAAACAGCAAATCCTATATATATGTAAAGTGTTAATCGTCTGAAGCGTCTATACTTATCCAGCAAACTAAGAATTTGATTTGTTTGTAAAATTTTAAACTTGTCATAAATAAAAAGCAACATTAATATTCTATACTCACAGAGTTTTGTGGAAGAATTCAGTGCAAAATTCTATAAAAACTAGTAAAACATATGAATACTCTAAATAAAAACAACTTGACGCAATTTTGCAAGATTTCTGACACAAAGAAAGATAATCAATATCTATACAAGATGCTGTTGACAGTCATAAAGTCATAGGTAGCAATATTATTACCTGTCCAGATATTAGATATAAAGAAGACCGATAAAAATGGATTGAAACATTACGTAATTGTGATAAATGGGAACCGATTAATTATTTAGAAATTATATTAGATTATAAACTGTTGGATAACAAATTACAAGCACGATTTCTTGAAGTATTCAGACAAAAATTCTTTTTTATGGAAAAATTAAATTAAATTTTAACACTCAAAATATTGTAGATCCTCAAACATAAAAATCGAGAAAATCCCTTCAAATATTCTTGAAAACATGAAAAATTTGTCAAATATATGCAGTATTATACAATGACAATGATAAATGTATTGATAAATGTATTTACGAGGTTTTTTCGGTTTATGTAGTATATCATCACAATAAAAGCGTCAGTGTTAAAACAAAAAGAAACATTAAAAATAAAAATTTAATTATGAAGTTAAAGTTGCATGGGTAATTATTGGATTTCACACTGATTTTAATTTGAGCCTTTTCTATAACTCAAATTAAATAGTTGGACTTTAAAATATCCAGAGCAAAAGCTTTACAATAGATCTGAATATACTAAAAAGATATAAAATAAAACCTTTCAAGAAGGTTTAAATTTCCCGATGATAAACTCTATTGTTTTCTTTATGCTTGTATTTTTAGATATCAATATGATGATGCAATCACTTTTGGGCTCCACTTTTGTCAGAATAATCAGAATTGGGAACCATGTGTTTATGGGGTACTGATGGCGCCCCATCTACCCTAGTAAATCAATAAAATCTTTTTTGACATCCCTAAATTCCAATATAAAATGATGTAATCAAAGTTTTCTTAAGCATCATCTCGATGCGATTAGCTAGTAATCGTGGTGGTGCTCATTTATTATAATAAACCAAAATAAAATTTGCAATTGATATTTGAGCGGTTCATTAATAATTTTCTATGTCGTCGCCACTGGGTTTAGGTTTTGTACAAAATGAAAAAATTATTGCCACATGAGTAAAGACTTAACATCCGTAATTGTTTTTTGAGCATTTTGATTTTTTATTTTTTTATTTTTCATAATATAAAAAAAGATGGTTAGCAGTAAAAGTTTGTAAATTGAAGTGACAATCCAATTTAATACTTTTTTTTTACTAATAAAAATATTTTATTTACATTATAAACTTTCGAAAATCATAATTATTTACTGTAAATGTTCATTACAATTACAAGTACACTTGACCCACATAAAATATTTTCCGCCATGTAAAATTTTATTCACTGACACTTTTTGGCCCATTGATTAAGGCACTTGAGAACGCCTCTTTTTAGAATATGATCCCCTTTCTTTAACTATTTCATTATTAATGTAATCTTGAATTACCATGATCCAATCAGCTTGATCTTCTTCACATGAAGCTTGTAACTTGTAGGTTCTTGACGGAGTTTGAATTTCGAATCTATATTTATCAACCTTTATAACTTTGAATGTCTTTTCTACTTTAATTCTTTTAAGACTTATTGTATCTTTAAAGCACATTAATGTTCCGTCATGGAATACAAAGTAACGTTCATTATTACGTTTGAGGAAGTGTGATTTTTTAAGTAACTTTCCAGCCTTGAGAGCATCCGGGTAATATCTCATCACTTCAGCATGAATAATTTCGAATTCATCTTGAATTATTTCATTTGGTTCCAGTCTTTGCCTACTTCTTCTATAATTTGAAAATAAATGTTATTTGATTAAGAATCATAAATCAGATTTTACAGATAAAGCATTAATACCTCTCTAATAATTGTTGCTCTTCTAGTAAACTACTAAGAACCATACTCATAAACATATTCAACTATTCTTAATTATTGGTTATATACACTTATTGTAGACAAAGTAGTGATCAAATCCAGACAAAATAGCAGTCAAATTTGAATATAATAACAATCAGAAACTTATAATATATACTGCGAGGTTTTGAGAGGATTATTTACTACGTATTTCTTATGATTATTAGATTTAGTGAATTAATCAGTTATTGAAGAAAAACTTCATTAGCTATATCCTAAAATTTAACTTCTTATATATGATGTAAGTTGGAATGGAATTAAGTGGGTTCGGAATTTCCAAGTTAAATTAGGGTTAGGATAAGGGTGTATATATGATAAAATCAACCCAAAAGCTGAGTTTATATAAAAATTCCGTTTCCGCTTCCACTTACAACATATACATCTATCAGTAAATGAACGGATTATTTATTGCGTTATTTAAACTAAAAT